GTATGTTCCAAATTCGATTTTGGAACTGGTTTCACCCATTTTGTGGGACTCCCTAGTTATGGCTTGACCAATTCTTTGGATGTCCCATTATTGCCTTTTTGGAAAGATTCTAATTATCTAGTAATATATGATAGCAGATGGCAGCCCACTGTGATTTTCAGTTTCATATGGATCAAAGCAAATTGTGGCTGGTGGGAGACTAGCATTAGTATGTGCCCACTGCATTGCCCTGTGATTAGGATCCTTTATGTTCTCTTCCTGTGAAATAGGGTTAACTTTGGTTTTATTAATTTTTCTTTGAAAGTTCTCATCTGACCCTCATATTGTCTACCAGGTGTTCTGAAAGCCAGCTCTTCAAATTTTGTCTCACCACTTCTGTGGTATTCTCATTCTTTATTTAAGAAATCCTACCATTCTTCCATTCTTGCTCTATCATAGCCGTAACAAATAATCAGATAGTTTAGTGCTGTGGATTAGTATGCTAATCCTTGCTAAGTGTAAATATTTTTATGTTAAAATAAAACTTCTAATTGCTAGAGTCCTTGAAGTAATTTCCTCATTTTCTCCAAGTAAGTGTAAGATTTCTTAAGGGAAACCCATGCCACAAAACCCATGCCTGTATTTCTAGGTTTACTGCCTATGAATGATGGTACTGGAAAATACCGAAGTCTGAAGTCTGCTTATAGTATCTGCCATATTATGCTACTCCCTGCTTTTCAGCCCAGAAGGCTAAAGGAAAAGCTAGACATGAATTCGGGTGGATATGGAGGTGCATTTTTTCATACTTTGACCAACAATGGGATAAGTAGTCTAATAAAGCTGGTCTGGCATTTCTATTAGAGTTGGGCAGCTGTTTTAGGCAACTGATTTTGGATATCATGAAAGGGCAAATAAGTACCTTATATTTATAACTGGTGCTTTTTTACTATCAGGAAGGGCAAGAAATGGCTATGGGCTTTTCTGCCTTAGTTGCCAAACCAATTTAGCTAGACTTGGATGATGTCCAACCTCATCAAGGTTCATTGGAGAAGCTGACTGGAACAGATGTCTTCTTGCTAGGGCAAATGTCACATGGGGTGGAACAAGTTCATTGTTGTTCTCAGGCCGGGCAGAATTTTTCTGAACCTTCAAGGGGATAGCATGGAAGATGAGGGATGGAGTGTTCTCCTTCAATAAACGGAAACGTCTGGTTCAGTGACATAAAGCTTCATAAGGCTTCTTTGGAGTTATTGGCTTCTATGACATGAATGCAAGGGGACTGCACTGAGAATATACATTTTGAGTTTAAAGAGACAATAAAGTGGCATCTTCTAGGGTGGGAACTTAAGATGTGGGGCTGATAATTCCTTGAGATGCTACATTCTCCCACTTGGTGTCTCTTCTGAGCTTGAGAGGGAACTAAGGCAGAAAATAAGGCAGGCTCTATGTAAGCTGACTTGAAGTGGGCACTTTATGCAAATTACCAAGACTCCTTAGAGGGTAGAGACAACTGCTGAGCCCATCCATAAAATGTTTACATTGCCTTTCATTACCTGGAAACAAGCTGCCCACCTTGTATCATATGTGAAAGAGCGTTGATTGGGGAGGTGATACAAGGGACAAATACTGTTAATCGAAAGACAAAACCCTAAATGCTGAAGAGTGACTTTCTCTGGAAAATGCACCAATGTGCCATGGCAACTCTGTGGGGAAACCGCTCTGAATTCAGGGGTGTGTAATGAATATGCAAATGAGACCAATCAGCCTCAGCAGCATCTGCAGACGAGAAGTAGTAATGAAATGTGAAAGAGCTCACAGATAAAAAATATAAGCCTTAAAACATTCATTGGCAGTATTTGTGATAATGGTGGGACACAAACTATATAATCAAGTGATATGTTTGCCTATGAAACGAGAGGCCCCTTGTGTGAGCTTCTTCCCTCCCTTCTGTAACATCATGCGTGTACATGTGCACACACACACGCACCTGCATACCAACATTAAAGCGGATGGTATGCTGTTTGAAGGAAACAACTATTAATAATGTAATGCTTCTATGTGGTAAAATTCATTTTGCCTAGAGTATACAAATTAGATACTTCAATACGCATATGGCGTGCTAGCAGACTGCCGAACCGCTTCAAATAAATAAATCAATCCCACAATGAATATATATTTGCCGCAGAGATTTCGTGAATTAAAAAGGTCATTTCTTTCAGAGGGAAGGATGGCTTCAAATAGGCTCTCAAGGCTTATTTGCAGGAAACGAGTCAGAAAATTTCAGTGTACTAAATTCCCCAAGTAAAAATAGCTTCCATAAGGCACAAAGTTTTCACGCTAGATTCAAGCCGATCCCTCCAAAGTGTCTGCGGGTAGTGAAAATGCATGTGGGAATGAGGAGGTTGGTGGAGATAACTTGCATATTGCAAGGACAGGTGTCCTAGGAGAAGCATTAAGCCGTTGTGTAAGTCCCTGAAATGGTTGATTGAGCTTTGCTGAGTTGGGATCACATGGGAAAACCAGGAGGGGAAGGAGTCAGGGTTTTTTTTTTCTCTGCTAGAGAAGTAAATAATAAATAAGGGCTCTTATCAAATTGCTTGATGGATATGACCTTCAAGCTGCAATTTCCATGTCTGCCATTTGTGCTGTTGTTGCAGGGATTGGGGGTTAAAGTTATCTACGAGGAGCAGCTCTCAAACGTGTAGATTGTTGGTGGCTGAAGGGATGTTTTGGATTGCAAGAAGTTCTATTGGCATTAAATGGGGCTATTGGTTGCACAATTTTTTGTATTAGCCATATGGTGTATTCATGATGTTCAGCTCGATTTGTACATGTAAGCTATGCTCACAAAATAAACTAAGCCATGGTTTGCTTAATTATGGTTTACTGAATAAATGGGAATTGGTTGAACTGTAATTTACTTTGTTTGGCTTTGGCTTAGTATATTGTGTAAAATCAAAAAGCAGATATAAAGACTTCAACCATATAGTTATTTTGTTTTGGGTGCATCCTTCTTGAGAATATTCCTCTATTGGTAACACATATTTTATAGAAGGGAGGGCAATTATTGTGCAGTTGCTCAGCAGAGCTGTCAGGCAGGACTCTAGGGCAGAAGTTCAGAGCTCCACTCAGAAAGAAGCCCCCAAGTAAGAGCAGGGCTGGCTTATTGTATTTGGAAATGAATAAACACCTATTGTCATCTAAGTAGGGGTTCCCATAAAGTCATTAAATCTGAAGATTAAAATTAGCTAATTATAGTAGGGCTCTTGGTAAACTGTTGAGTGTCAGCAATCACTGCCAATCTATTGCAAGTCACCCATTAAAGTACCACTAGTATGATGACTGACATATGGGCCTGAAGTGATTCATCAGACAGCAATTTACCTAGCACGCTTTTAAGTTGGAGACTGCCTTAAATGTAAATGAAAGAGTCCAGCTGAAGTGAGCCAAACCTTAGTTCCAGGGGTGTCTGGAGGGGGATGTCCCAATCTGCAAGATGTCAGGTACGATGTTGTAATGCAACCTCCAACCCTTTTGTGCATAGGGTTTTGACCTCTGGGGCATGCTGCTGCTTAGTCATGAGCTAACATTGCAAATGTCTGTTCTGTCATTGGTTTGGGTGCTTAACTGAGTTCTAATAAAAAAAAAACACCCTTTTGTGCATAGGGTTTTGACCTCTGGGGCATGCTGCTGCTTAGTCATGAGCTAACATTGCAAATGTCTGTTCTGTCATTGGTTTGGGTGCTTAACTGAGTTCTAATAAAAAAAAAAACCCGTATGTATGTATGTATGTATATAAAAAATCCCCTCTCACCCCTTATGGGTGGTATGTGTCTTCCTCAATCTCGGGTCCTCTAACAGAAGCCTGGGAGTTTGAGGGTTCAGCACAGTATCTTAGCA